CCACTCGTTTGGTACTATTTCCGTACGTTGATTAGTCGACTCATTCTGAAGTTGATCGTGCTCAATTATGCCTTCATTAGTCGACTGTGGGATTTCAGTCATTTTGTCTGCAGTTTCTTCTGAAGTTTTCTATTCACTATTCTATGGCCGATTTTGGCTGATCTCTTCATCACCTACAAAATCTCCTTTATCGGCCATAGAGTTATTATGATAAAAAAAATAACGTGAAATAATTCCTCTACACATACGGTACGCTTATTATAGATTCTAAAAGATTTATTGTTATTCGCGTATCCCAGAAATATACCTTCATCACTCCTTGGATCAAACTTACCAAGATTGTCCTTGCCATTATTGTAGACAAAATATTTGCTTTCAAAAGGATGAAAGTATCCAATATTAGGTTTCTTACCTTTCCATAATTCGTATGGAGTTCTCTTCAAAATGGGTCGAATCAAACACCTGTTGAGAATGTGACAAGCTGTGCTAACTGCTTCTGCACAGAAATGATTTGGGAGAGAATGTTCTAGTATCATGGTTCTCGCCATATCCTGCAGAGTTCTATTCTTACGTTCAACCACTCCATTTTGCTGTGGTGACCTTGGTACTGAGAAATTGTGAGCGTATCCTTGATCATTGTAGAATTCTTTAAAGATTCTGCTTTCAAATTCTCCTCCATGATCACTTTGAATAGTTGCTATAAGATGCCCCTTTTCTCATTCAACTCTTTTACAGAAAAACTCAAAATTGTTCAATGCTTCATTTTTGTGAGATAAGAAAATCACCCATGTAAAGCGTGAGTAGTCATCAATAATAACGAAAGCATATCGGTTACCTCCAATGCTTGCAGTTCTAGTAGGTCCAAACAGATCCATGTGAAGCAATTATAGAGGCTTGAAAGTAGACACAATGTCCTTGGTTTTGAAAGAGTTTCTAGTTTGCTTACCAATTTGACATGCATCACATATATGATTTCTAGAGAAATTGAGCTTATGAAGACCAATAACTAAGTCATGCTTGGAGAGCTTTTCAATAAGATGCATGCTTGCATGACCGAGTTTTTTATGGCAGAGCCATGGATCATCGGATATGGATGCTAAACAGATATGACTATCTAGATTTTCAATGCCATCAAGAATGTAGACGTTTCCATACCTTTTTCCTGGAAGAATAATCTTACCTGCATCATTTTCAATAGCACACCCAGTTTTCTTGAATTTAACTTTGTATCCCAAATCACATAGTTGGCTAATACTTAGAAGATTGTAATTGAGTCCATCCACTAGATATACTTTAGTAATATCGCAATTATTGCTGAATGGAACTATGCCAGTACTAACTATCTTTCCTCTTGAATCATCTCCGAATTTGACATTTCCTCCATTTATTTTTGTAACTTCTTTGAATAGATTTTTGTCTCTTGTCATGTGACCGGAACACGCGTTGTCTAAATACCACTTTCCTTTGCGACTCTTTCTGTGGTGTTCCTGCAAAATAAAATTATCACATTCTTTTAGGTACCAAAGCTTGCTTGGGTCCTTGTTGGTTAGTATTACTTGAATCAGGATTAGTTTTGGGTTTCCAAATGCATTCTGAAATATTCGATTTACGAAATGTACAAAAAGAGTATTTATGACTAACTTTGTTACAGTAATAAAACACATGTTGATCCAGTTTTCGATCTCCCACTTGTGTTAGTACTTGTGGACTTAGTTCTAGCCAGTTCTTTTCCAGTTGACTTGTATGTCTCATGGTTAGATTTGACAGAACTATGACTGATTGACTTGCGCATGCTACTAAGTTGCATTTGCAATTCCTGAACTTCATCTTGAAGTATATTTCTTTTGATTTCACAGACTTCAAGTTTAAGTTTCCAGTCCTTCTTTTCTCTATTGAGTCTCCTTAGTTCATTCAACATTTTTTGAGACTCCTTTAGAGTAAGGTCAAGAATATCCTGCAATTCATTACATCTATCACAGTTATAGGATCTTACCTCGCTTGTTTCACCTCGTGCCATGAAACAATTTTTAGTATCTTCTTTGCATTCATCGTCTGATGCATCTTTATCTGTCCAGTAACCAGAGTATTTGTTCATGCCATTTTCCAAAATGGTCATGAAGCACATGTTTGCTATTTCTTTGTGCTCTGAACTGTCTTCATCACTCCAGTTTCCAAAGGATTTGTTTTTATTGAATCCTCTAGAGACTTTTCTTTTAAAATCTGGGCATTCAACTTGAACATGCCCATACCTTCCACACTCATAATACTTTCTATCATTCTTGTCTTGTTCATTGTATTGCCTGGTGCACCTGGGTGGCATCCTTCCCCTTCTTGTGTTTCTATACCTTCTCATCAATCCATTTATGTTTCTTGATACCATTGCAATTTTTTCTTCAAGAGCTTCTGGGTCATCATTAATATCATTTGCAGGTCCTTCAGTTGTAGCTTTGAAGGCAACAGTTTTCTTCTTTTCTTCATAGTTTGTTTTCTTGAGATGGGCCTTCTCGAATGCTATAAGATCTCCTCATATGAAATGTTGTTTAGATCTTGAGATTCGAGTGCGACTACTTTTGTCTGCCAAGTGGTAGGTAGACCTCTTAGAATTTTTTGAACTAGATCACTATTTATGTAGGGTTTACCAAAGGCTTTTAGATCGCCAATAATTTTGCTAAACCTTGCAAACATTTCCTTAATGGATTCTCCTTCTTTCATCTAGAAGAGTTCATACTCATGGACCAACATGTTTATTCGAGTTTCTTTCACTTTGCTGGTTCTTTCATAAGTGACTTTTAATTTGTCCCACATTTATTTCGTTGTATCACAACTTGAGATTTTCTCATACTCCTCTCCACTTATAGCATTATAGAGTAAATTTCGTGCCTTAGCATTGACCTGAACAATTGCCATTTGCTCATCTGTGTATTCATCTATATCTTCAGGATCAACGGGTGGTTGAGTTGCTGCTGGTAGTGGATAGTTACTCTTTTAGATAATGCGCCATACTTTGACATTATAGGATTTTGCATATATTTCCATTCGCACTTTCCAGTGAGAAAAGTGTTGTCCATTGAAATAAGGTGGCTTGACTTTCCATATTCCTTCTTGAAAGAGTGCTCCAATAATTACTTGATTTGCCATGATATTTTCTCACAAGCTGTTAAGCAAAAAGTGTGAGACTAGCTCTGATACCAATTGAAAGAATAAGAGGGGGTGAATTGAAATTTATTCTTTCTTTTGCGAGGTAGTCGACTAATTTGCGTTCTAGTCAACTGATATTTTCGAAACTAAGTATAAGAAAGGAAATTGCAGAAAGTAAATGACACAGAGTATTTTTATACTGGTTTGGATTCAGAGTGAATCCTACGTCCAGTACCCTTGGGTTGCAAGGGTGATCTCTTTCAAATATGAAGTGACTTAGTATAGATGGGTTGATATTGTTATTCACCAACAACCTTTTGATCACTTTGTTCTTCTCTCTTATGGTTGATACAATGCCTCACTAGTGTTCTTTTCTCTCTCTCTCTCTCTTCTCTTCTTAGTTACACAAGAAATCTATGACAGACTACAGTGTTTGTTTGAAGTAGAACAAAAAAATTGATTTTGGTTCGATCAAAGTATGTCAATCCTTGGCATCTTCTGTAGAATATATAGGGTGAGTTGGTTCCCATTCTTCACGGCGTGATAGTGAAATAATTGAGCAACAACCCAAGGGAGTTGATTTTCAGAATCAATCAAGATGATTTCATTCCAGAAATAGAATGGACTTTTTCTTTCGTTGCTTCCTTGATTTCCTTTTTCCTTGTGAGCCGTTGGAGAGAATATTTTCAGAGGATTTTCTATACTGATTGATTGATGCCTTCTATAAATGATCCATGTGAATATCCACGTGATTGATCTTCTATATTGATCGATTTATATATGCCTTCCATAAATGGTTGATTCGAATATCCAGTTTCCATAGAACACGCGGTTACAGCTTAATTCTTGTCTCCTTGATTTGTGCTTCCAGATCTTCTGTTATAGTCTTTTCCATTCCCATGACATCCTTTGGGATTGGTTTCCTGCAAGTAGAATTAAGTTATTGTCTATCATTAAAATCCAAATCTAACACCTTTGAGATATGCTAAATTAAATGCTACTAGTATAATATTAGAATCTTGATATCATTAATTTAGTTAGTGTGTATTAATTCCAATAACATATCAGTATCGTGGTTTATTTTTATCTAAAATATAAAAATTCTTATTTCTCCCTCCACCCTTGTTAGTATTCCACCTCTGTACAAGGCACAAATTATCAATCGTGATCCTTAATTTATATGATGGCATACTTTGATGTAGACATGTAGTACAAAGCACAAATTATCAAGGATAACACAAGGAGTTCTGAAACCTGTTCTAAATTCGAGCGATAGCACAACCAGTTTAGTTTTTTAGTTAGTTTTGAGACCCATTGACCTAATATGTTTGGAAAACACTAGAAATATATTAAGGGAGTTATAATTGGGATCTCTTTTGCTATACTTCTCATTTATAGTGAAAAATTTATATGCTTCTGTCCCTGGCCAGAACGTAAGATTGGCCGACCCTCGTTAAATCCTTGTGTTATTTTTTTTTTAACTCTGTGTGTAATCTTTAATTTGCTAGTTAACCCACTAGTTCGCTACATATTTCAACTATGATATTATAAAAGTCATACTGAAGAATAGTTTGTGAAAGGCTTTTATGTCACTCTCTCTTATGATGGACTGGTAAAGCTAATTAACACAAAGGTTTCCTTAACAGAAATGTCATCACTCATATAAAAATGTATACGTTCCTTTAATAGGTTTTGAGTAGACAATTATAAAATAAGTCTCAGTTCTAGACTTCTAGTTGCAGATGGACTCAAAATTGAACTAAATATAAAATAATATCATAGTTAGACAAACATAAAAAAAAGTTTGTAAATATAACCATAATATATATCTAATATATATAGAATGAACTAATTCCAAATAATTAAACTGCAAAACCAGAGATATTCCTTCCAATCTTGTGTTGCAGAATCTTCTGTAATTCCTCGGCTCGACAAGGAACTTCAAGAACACCCTTTTGTACGAATCCATATTCATCTTCAGCTTGCTTTAGTAAATTCAAGAATTTTGGATTTGTAAGCCAATGCAGTTCCACAACAAACCTCTTTGGCTCCTCCTCTGGATTCACTGAAAAAACAGCAAAATATCCTTCTTTTACATCATTTGGCACCACCTCTTCATTATTTGCTGCTCTCGGCGTTTCAACAAATTCCGCAACAGCTCCAGCAGCTTGAAATCTACTGGAATATTTGTGGATTAATTGAAGATGGTTCTTGAGCTTTCCCATAATCATCTTAGTCTTCAGCATTTTTGAGCTTATAATAGAGGTTGAATTTGCTATTTATAAACAATAATATTGATAATATTAATTGTATTTAATTTGTAGTAGGATATGTTAGTTTTTGCTTTGTTCCCAGAGGATTACTTTAGGAACGCAATTTATAGAGATTGTAGCTCTGAATCAAGAAGGATAGGAAGTTTCTAAGATGCTGAGTATAGGGTCCATTGCATGTGCTTTTGCTATTTTTGTGTCATTAAATGCAACTTATATTAAATAGTTTTCTGTCTTCTCTTTTTAAAAAAAATTAAGTTTCATTTATAAAATGGAAACGCGGTACCATGATATGATTGTAAGTTTGTAACAGCTAACCTCCGTATTAAAAAATTGGTCTCCTCCGTAGTGTACCTTTGTCCGTACAATACAAGTAATTCTACAAATATATTAAGGGGTAGTTTCGTTCACATATTATTTATGCTGTGAAATATAAATCAACAATTGTTTGTACTTTCTTTAAAGACATTATTTGTCTTTAAATATTTTTATTGCTAATGCACATAATATTAATACATGAATTCCAGCGTAACATAATGTGAATATTTTGCAATACCGTCAACCAAATATATAATTAAATATATCTAAAAATTAAAATCCAAATGAAAACAATGCCATAATAGAATGGAGGGGAGTAATCATCAACCTTTCACAAGATCCACAATGTCACCCGATTTAATTTGCATGAAATGCATTGGGCACAAGGGGAAAAGAGCAATTCTGACGTTTCCTATATTACAATTGCTACCCATATAGGTGAAAATATAAAAATAAGGAAGTTTTAACAAGAAATGAAGCTTTTTTTTTCTTTTTGTTTTTTGCTATGCAACTGTTTTTTTTTCATTGGGAATTAATTAACTTAGTGCTTTTATAATTGTTTGCACCTAGCTTACTACGATCGTCTATTGGAAACAACATCTCTATTTGCTCAGGGTAAATGTAAGGTATGCATACACACAACCTTCCCCAGACACCATTCACTACAAGAAAAAAGGCCTTTAGCGAGGGGAAATTCGGTCGCTAAAAGTCCAAGTCCAGTCGTTATTGATCATTTACGACCAGATAAATTACGGTCGTCATCAGTCGTTAAAAGCTCCGCCGTTAATAGTACACGACCGGATTAGAATCCGGTCGTTAAAAACCTCTTAGCGACGACAACAAATCCAGTCGTTATTCCTCCTTTAGCGACTGAATTTCCCTTCACTAATTGTTATTTTTTGGTCACTAAAACATCAATAACGGCAACAAACTCAGCCTTTGTAAGTGCTTCTAGCGACCGAAATATTTTTCATTAATTGTATAAATAACGGCAGCTAATATTGTGACATATCCATACAGATATCCAAACACATACAAAAAGTCAGTACTCATATAAACATCATTGTTGATTACAAAGGATTAGAATATCACATTACCAAAAGTATACTTATCTAAATGTTACTAACATTATTTTATTCAACTCCTAAAATAAGAAAAAATAGAACTATAGCATATACAAACAGCAACATCTTTAAAAATCCCTCTCAAAACAAAGTGGGTTTCTCTTGTACTTCAATTTTTTCTTTAACATTTCTCATCTCCTTCAACTCGCTCTACACTATCTTCAAGAAAACTTCATGTCTTCAAATTCTTGATCCGTTAAAAGAAAATAATTTGGAAAAAGATTAAAAAGGTATTGCATCAATTTACGTGTGGAAGCATTGACATTGCATGAAACTTTAGTCATGCAGAAACATACAGGAAGTAGAGTATTGTGGAGAAATACAAAATGACGTGCAGAAATATTTGTGAGCTTATACAACAACAACAACAACAACAACCCAGTATAATTTCACTAGTGGGGTCTGGGGAGGGTAGTGTGTACGCAGACCTTATCCCTACCCTAGGGTAGAGAGGCTGTTTCCGATAGACCCTCGGCTCCCTCTCTCCAAGAACTCCTCACCTTGCTCTTGGGGTGACTCGAACTCACAACCTCTTGATTGAAAGTGGAGGGTGCTCACCACTAAAGCAACCCACTCTTGTCTTTGAGCTTATATTTGGTTTGTTTTTGTTGTTGTTGTAGCTTACGACAGTCCATGACCCTGACCTATTTTGCCACTGTTTACTTTTTGTCAATTTGTTCTATCAGTGAATCAACACCCGTAGAACTTAAAAATGTGGCATTAACATTTATAAGAAATTGATATGTTTTCATACACCGTTATCTGTTAGTCGTTTCCTGCGTTTATTATCTCCTTTTCATAGTATGGTGCAACTTGAAGAAAGTTGAAAAGGATTTCATGACCTTTGCTTTTACACCCTATCGAAATAGAACAAATTAATTCCTCCTTGTCTTTAAATCTCCCTACATTATATTCGCTTATCACTAATTGCGTATCTTCTAAGGATTTAAGTTATATACATAATTGAAGAATTTACGCCGTTTTCCCCCCTACAAAATCAGTTTCAATTTTATTTTCAAACTAATATTACAAATAATTCATTTTGCTCCCACTAAGTCTTGGAGCGCGACGGAGAATATACAGATTTTTTGATTAGCACTAAGATCTCGACATTGAATCAAGTTTCTTTTCCATTAGCATGAGCCAATACATAATAAAGGAAAAAATAATTAGTACGGGAATGAAACAGAAGTACTAGATCTTGTGAAATTGCATAAAATATTGGACTAGTCTTGTCGTTTATTTCTCCCACAGAACTAATTGACAATTATTTAACTGACATGATCGTATTCTTTAGAGGTCTGAAACGTTTTAGACGTCTCATCAGTTTTCATATTAGAAGAATGGAATTAAATAGAAAGCAATCACTTTCCTCATATCAGGCCCTCTACACAGAGAAGAGGAGAATCTACGAAAAATATCAAATAAACACCCTCCAAAACCTGCAACAAGATTAATATGAACTGTATCCACAAGATTATTAATGGTTCACATGCATGAGTGTTCACTCAAAGAGAGCAGAAGAAGATGCAGAATATACAGAAGAGAAGGGCCTGCTCTTCGTTTTACGTTTCCCTTTTCTTCTACTTGATATTCATGATATTTCTTTCTTGAATGACTATTCCCAAACTAATGCGTCCTTTATTCCCAATGATAGGTACTATTAACAAATAAGAGGTTGAGTTAGGATTTAAAATTTTCTAGTTTATTTTTTTTAGGAAAAATACATAGGTAGTCACCTTTACTATACATCAAACTCCTGTTACACACTTTCTGAGAACGAAAATTATAGTACATACCCAACCTTTTCAAAGTGTAACTAACACACACTATTTTTTTCTTAACCGATTTTTCATAATATATGTAATGTCACACACCAATAAAGTCATGACACGTGTTAATAAGTTTTTTTAAAAAAATAAAACACCTAAATTTATAATTATACCCTTAGCATCTACCTTCGGCTCTTTCTCTTTTGCAAACCACCAAAATAATGGCTGCCACCAAACATTAACAGGCAACCCACCATTAATTTTTATCTTCTTCACTATATCAATAACTCTATCGTGACACATTCAACTGCTTTCATTTTCTTCCATAACCACCAAGCTTTATTAACTCTGCCATAACACCACCATGGCTTCACTTCCACAATCACCATTTTCAACAGTTAACCTATCGTCAAAACTATTTTTATAACCCAATAATCCTTTTCACCAGCAAAAAGTATACAAAATCATTAAGAATTACAAGAATCGAAACATCAAGAGAACCCAGAAGTTGAAAATGACTAAAGAATGTTGTTCTGAGAAACTTTCTTCAACAAATTAAGGTTTTTCCATTTGGGTTATGAAAAAATATACTAATAATTTGGGAGAAATTTGGATTCCCAAATAAAATCCGTAGAAGAAGCATTCCAGCAAGCTCAATTAAGATCCGATATATTTTCAAACTTAGGCGTCAATGGAGGATGGTTTAACCCATTAACAAAATTGAAGTCAACTGAAGTGGGTCTAAGTGTTTAGGACCAGTTTGTGAATTTTTTAAACAAGGAAGAAGATGACCCAATTTAATTTTTTTTTAAAACTAAAAACAAATTGACATATACACAAAAATTCTCATGTCAGGCGCTTCACTTGTTGGAAAAAACACGCACTAGCCACGTGGGCAAAATGGTGTGTATTAGACACACTCCGGAAAGGTTGCGTGTGTAAAAAAAATTTTCGCCTGCAAAAAGTAGGTAACAAGGATTTGGTCCATAATTTATGGGGTAACTTATGTATTTTGCCTTCTTTTTTTTTTTTTAAATTGTTGAGTTTTTAACTAATAATTTATATATATTTAATTAATTTTTTAAGAAGAATATAAAATTTGGACTAAAGTTACAAAATTTGGCCAAATACGTAACCTACACACTAGCTCTGGCGCCCCTGTTATCAATTTGTTCCAACCCAAAGAACAAAATAAAAAAGGAAATTACAATGAGGGTTCCGGGGGCTTTCACAAGGTAGGTTAAATTTTAATTTTTTTATCTAGTTTCTTTAAGTTTTGCGCATAAATAATGTAGAAGTATTTATGTAATCAATTCATATATATTAACAGCAAAATAATACCAACATTTAACAATTGTTGACAATTTTATTAACCAAGAAATGAGAACAGGTTAACTTGCACTAATTGTGCGTCAGCAGATAAAAGTTAGCTATGTTTTGGTCATGTTCTAAACGGTACAAAAAGTTGTACCGCATCTACACGCGAAAGTCCAAAACATCACTTGTATCGGTAGAAATTTCGAAAGAATTGAGATAACAAACTACGTAGTGTATTTCAAATGGATTGCAATCTATTTCATGTCACAATTTATGTATTATACTTTATTTTTTAGTATATCTTAAAAGAATATTATATTTTCTTATCACGAAATAATTTAACTTAAAAATTTTATTTTATCATTAATAAGATAATTTATAGTAATACAAATATCTATGATTTGTTTTAGATCAGAAATTCAAAAGTATTCATTTTTATTAAACT